CTACAACTTTAGATCTGAATATATCGCGCAAGAGCAAACAAACTCACTCACACTAATTGCTCGCGGAACCTCCTTAAAAAGCTTCTATCTTGGCGCAAGCCTGCGTTTGACCAGGTGGAAACTCTGGAGTTGCACACGGGCGGTGACAACGAGTCTTCCGAGTACTAACTTTAATGTTGCCAGCACTCATTTTCGTATCGCCAGTACTAAATTTAACTACATTTAGTATTGCCGGTACTACATTTACTCTTGCCAGTACTAACTTTACATTGCCAATACGAAATTTAGTATTGTCACTACTTTATGTCGTGTTGCCACCACGTAACTTAGTAGTTGTGCGAAAACGAAACCAACCCCCTGCAGGTTTAGGGGGGCCCGCTTGAAGATAGAAACTTTCCTGTTGCGGCAGGTCTGGAAAACTGTGCCTCCGAAAAGCAAAACGTGGCCCCAAATTTTCCAGACCTTCCGCGGCCGGAGAGTTTCCATCCTTCCGCGGGAGTCTATCTTTCCTTTCCGCGCTTTTTGTCGCCAAACCTGGAAAAGAGTTTCTCTCTTTCCGAGGATGGCTATACTACAAGCCAACCTACGACACGCAGCGATCAGCTCAGCGCTACCCTCGCACACGCCTTCGCGCCCAGTGTCCTGCGCCAGGCAGCCAGCTTTGCCTACGCCACAGCAGGGAGGGGCAAACTGTCGCGCGACGTCCCTCCATGACCCGCGTCACCGAATTTACGGCACGGGAGCTAGCTCGCCTGCCACACCAGTCTGACAGACTTGAAATTCTCGAACACCCAGGTTGCGCCCCACCAATACGTCGATGACTACTATACTAAATTGCATCAAAACTACATCAAGCACATCAACACTACATCAAACTTCATCAAATCTACATTTTTTAAGACGTGGGACGCCAGTTTTTCAATTTGGAACACAACGAGAATTAAACCAACTATGTAGCACAACATGTCCAGTCACCCACAACTGCCAATCTCATTGTTTGTGCGATCACCTTGCGAGCTGAGTATTGCGCTATAGAAGGGTGATCTTGTGAGTTGTGAAACTGTGGGGCTCGGGAAAAAAGGTTTTGAAGGGAGATGCGGCATGATCAGTGGGACAACTGGAAGGGCGCTATATATATTCACAAGAACTGCACAAACAAACATGACAGGAAAGGTGATCTTGCGGGCTGAAACTGTCTGGGGCTGGGGAAAAATTTGGCAAATAAGAAGTTTGATCTTGTGGGTTGAAACTGGAGCTGGGAAAAAAGGTTTTGAAGGGAGATGCGGCTGAACAGTGGGACAACTGGAAGGGCGCCATAGATGCATGAGAGCTGCGCAAAAACATGACTCTTGAAGGGCGATCTTGTGGGTTGAAACTGTGTGCGAGGGTGGGCAAAAAGTCGGCAAATAAGAATCTGGGGCATTCTTGGATTCATTATAAATTTAGGGCATTTTCAGTTTTATCAGGTTTCAAGTTTGTTTACCTATCCTTTGGGTGGCTTCAAGGTTGTCTTGTGGCACAACTTCAGCCCAGAATGGAGCCCAGTCCCGTCATTTGATCTTGTGGTTTGAAACTGGAGCTGGGAGAAAAGGCTTCGTGAAGGAAGATGCGGCATGAGCAGTGAGACAACTGTGGAAGGGCGCTTTAGATTCGTCGTCAGGATGTGTGTCGACACAAGCTGTGCGTGGAAGAACGTCACACACAGGAAAGCTGCAAGCTCCGTTCCCGGGTTTGTTGTCGCCTTGGGCTTCGTCCGCAGATGATGGGTAAACATGAGCACACAGAAGCTTTCCGCACAACTACCGCTATCAATTTGGTGCTTCTTTTTATAAACAGAACAGTTTGGTCAGCACACAATTGCACACTGGGTGAAAACTATTCACAGCAAGCAATCTTGTGTGTGGCGGCGGCGCAAGCTCTGGCACATCATATGCAGAATCAACAGTCCAGCTGCATCATCTGTCTCTGTACGGAAAGAGGGCTCACGGGACGCGGGTCTCTGTGGTCCTCCAAGCGGGCATGACGCTGCGTTTTGCACAATGTGACCCGGAACCACAAACAGAGAAACGAAAATATGCCAGCGCGTGGAGTTGAGAAGCCCATTTGTGCCATCCGCGCTCAAAGAAGTTCCCCTTGCAGCCAAAGACTGCCTGGCGTAGATTCACGGTGGCTTTGGTGGAGGTCCCATGGTATGCGATCCACATGCCCTCGCCATCGTCCCACATGATGAACAGCTTCTCGCCGTCCGCTGCGAATTCTGTGGTCTTCTGGCATTCCCAGTAGGCATGTTGGTTTGCTTTGTCCTTGGTTAGTATAAGTGTGTGGCTTGAAAAAGAAGGCAGAAACTGACACAGCCCTCGCCGATGCGCAGGCAAAAAAGTATTGCACACCCAAATGCCACCCAGCAAAGTAGAGTTGGTCGAAAACTCGCAAGAGACAACTTTGTGGTTTACTTTTCAACAGGTCGCTGGCGCCAACGCGTAGTTGAAGGCATAGCCGCGCGCGAAGGCCGCCATCGTGCCAACGGTAAGCTTCGCTGGCAGTTGGGAGGAGGCCGGATGACATCCTTGTGGCGCACATGCAACTGCGGCGACCTCTTGTGGCAGAACTGTCATCAAGCACATGCGGCCTCACATGATTCACACATTTTTGCCCGCCAGCAGTCCGACTCCTTTTTGTGTCTTTTGCATATCATACAAAGCAGACAACGCTTCACCGCCTCACTCGCAATCTCTGTTGGATATCACACGTGTAACACTGCTGCCGCAGGGGGCCAGAAGAAGCAACTTTGCCCGCCATCCTGTTCGCATCTCGAGCACCTCGGTGCGGCAAGATCTCAGTTGCAGGAGCCCCAAGACGCCGCGCGTGCAGTTCCTGTGACAGGCCAATGCACCGTTAGCGCCAGACATGCCTATGTTATCATACAATGTCACACAGAGAGCGCAACAGCAAGGAAACCAAACCCAACCGCGCACAACTCTAGACCCTTCCTGCCTCAATGATGTCAGGTATGTCTCGGCGTTCTGTAGCTTCTCATGGCGCGTTCCCTTCGTACCGATCCATCACAGAAATGGGCGAGGCTACTGCGCCTCCCTTCTTGTAGGTGGGAACAACGCCAGGGTCTGCCCTTTTCCTCCGGCTTGCCCAAGCATCAACCGCCAGCACTTGGATCTAAAAGACCGGCGCATCATGAACGACTGTGACTTCCAGGGAGAACTACTCGATCTCACTACTGGAGCGGTTCCATGCAAAACCAGTGTTGTCCGCCCAATCTTGCAGCAGTGCGACAGTTTGAAACTTGAGGAAAACAACAAGCATTTCCGCGGAGCTGACTTCACAGCGTTCGAGCCGCGCCTGCGTTGCTTCACGCGCCTGCAAACGCAGCGCCATCGAGCACCAATGCGCCGTGGCGCCGATGCTGGCGGCCGCCTTGCCAGACGATGTTCGGCAGACAAGGCAAACTTCTGCGCCATTGCTGCGTTCTGCTCAGCGTAAACCTCAGGCGCATAGTCTTAGTGCTCATACATGTCGTAGTCTGGGTCTGGGGCGTTGAGTTTCGTGCGTGTCCATCCTTGAGGGAGGGGCGCCTCTCGGAGGCTCCAGCAATCCCTACAAATACTGCAGCCTCCATTCTTGTCGCCCAGCCCATCAATGATGGGGAACCGCTATTGTAGGCTGAGTGGAATGCGCAGCTTCACTATTTTCTGGTCTGAGAGGGCGATGAGGTCGTCGGAGACTTGGGCTTCAAGCTGCCCGGCACATTCCCCAAACTCAAGTCGTCCAGATTGCGCGAATTAAGCCGGCCTGCGCGATCATTGTTTCTATAAGACAAGGTCCCCGAGCAACGAGTAACACTTCCTGAAATGGAACCATTTTGAGGGAGACAAGTCGCCCACGTCGCGCCTGGCATCATCTCGCGCGAGCCCTCTCACGCAACCCGCGCAGGCTCGAAGGGGTGCGTTTGAGCGTCGGATCGCCTCCTCTGCTGCCCTTTTATAACATAGAATTTGGGCTTGGGGTGCTTCGGACCCCTGCTACGGTGATTTTTCCTTAACAGCTGATAGAGTCTTGCCAAGCGCCGCAGCGAGAGCGACCGACGCAGAACGTTCCCCTTTCTTTCCACCCAGCGAGATCCACAACAGCATGAGGCGCACTTGCGCGCGCTCCCTGGAAGCGTCCACGCGCATCCCCAAAACTAGGACGACACGCCATCACAGCTGCGCACTGTGGCCACCTCCAATGGCTCCGCGGCACAGCGCAAATGACTAACGTTCTAGCTGCACCGTCTCGCTGCGGCGCAGTGTAAACTTTGAGCACGGATCATCGAGAAGCGTCCTCTGCAAGGATCCTCCGACAGAGACGCGTGCGAAAATGTCACACAACGCGACGCAATGCGCTGCGCTCATGTAATGCAACGCGTGAGTGTTTGCGATTTAGCGGAACGCAATGTAAAGTAACGCACCTGCACACACTGCGAAAGCGCTCGAGCTGAACTGGATGGGACTCCGAAAACGAGTAAGACAGTCACAGCATCAAGTGGGCAGTGAGTGATATTCACGAAGCAACGTCAGCGCAGTTTCCATCTAGGATCGAAAAACGCTACAAATCCAACAAGAAGCACACAGCGAAAAAGACCAAGGGCTAAGAAGACCTTGTCACCCGGCGTCCCAGGAAAAATCCTCGGGTCACTGCGGAGAGCCTTTGTTGCCTGCCAACATAGCAACGCGGCGTTGTGGTGAGTCTGCCAAAAAAAACAAAGAGTGAGTACCCTAGTTTCCCTCAGGTTTCCCTTTGACTTGCCCTCCGTGAAACGCAACACGAGGGTGTGTCATCCACAGAAACCCAAGAAAAGATCGGGCAGGCAATGAGCGAAGGCATGCTCAAGGAAGGGGGCCATCATGCTTGTTGGGCCACAAACAAACGAAAGGGGAACCACTTTTCTATCTTAGAAACGACAAGCCTGAAAAAACAATCAACCTGGACTGCGGACAAGCAAGCACCTCCATAGGGGCCGCAATGAGCACCAGCCGCGTCAGCCGGTGCATTGGCCTGCGCAAGCCTGAGACGCAAAAAGGCAGCGTTCCACCATATTTTGTCTTCTGCAAAAATTGGAATGGGGGGACACTTCCCTCCCGTCACCAGAAACGTGTTTTTGCTGCACCCTCCGCCTCCCTCCTTGTCGGCCCTCTCTTCGAACTCCATCATCTTGGGGATGACAATGCCATCGGCCAGGCCAGCCAGCACTGTCCCCAGCACTAGACTCTGGATGGGCCCATACCCAAAGAACTTCCACGCGTACAGCGCAAGGCCCGCCTAACAGGTCATTTTTCAAAAAGAGGCGGCGGAGCCAGGCAGCACTTTTGGGCACTTACCGCCTCTCTGAGTTTCCGGCAAGTTCACAAGAGCTAGGCAGGAGACCAATCGCAACCTCGGCTTCTCAGCGACGCAACGCCCAACAAGCTGGGTTGTCGCGCAGGAGTTCTACGCAGATGTCCTCTGCTTGGGCTGCTTGGGGAGTTGCGTTTCACTGCTCGGGCGTCTGTCTCCCATCAGTCACGGATTTTCATCTTGTTCCCCACTTGCACTTGTTAATGAATGAATGATCTCTCTCGTTCGCTCTCCTCCTTCTTTGGCTCCATCTGCACCCCCGCGCAGCTCAGCCGCATTGGGTAAGGTGAGGTTGTCCATGCTGATCTCAAAGCCAGCCGTGAGCAGGACCAGAAAAAAAGCACATTCTTGAAAATCATCTCGGCCATCCAAGATGCCCTGGCAAGAAGGCGAGAGCAACAGTCTGAGAGGCATGTCAGTCCCTGGTGGAAAACCAACCAAGCAGTGGGAACGCCGCGACCGTTAATGCCAGGCTGCAGGCTGCATAAAGAACGTGAACATCCAGCCAGCGAATAGCACGCCGACTGCACCCGGCAGGTTCATGCTAACGAACAAGGTCCTGACATGAGCAGGGTTGGTGATTGATGGAACATGTGTTTTGGGCGCGCGAAAACTTCTGAGCTTGATTTGCAACGCTCAGGATGTCATGGCAATCACTAGCCTCATCAAGTACCCAGCCATCAGCAAATAGGCGAGGCCAAGCTGCAAGGGATATGCCAGCGCCATGGCTTTTTCAAGCTAAAAGACTTCCAACATCTGTCATCTGTTAATTTGTTGTGTGTGGTCCAAAAACATGCCTTTATTGCGAACATCCTTCTCAAATCCTGGTGACTCTCCTTCGGCCCAAGCCTTTTGACCATGCACGTGACACGCCCCAGCAAAACATGACTTCCAATATCTGAAGGAACTTCATTCAAGCGATGGGCCACTGTCGCCTCGCATCTCAGCTTATGACTCAAACAAGCTGCACTTGGATCCAGAAAGTCGGGTCTACCTTCCCAGAGTCAACCTCACATCATTGGTACGCCGGGGTGTGAAAAATAGGTCACTTTCTTAACTCGAAGTCTGGTAAGGCACATATGTGTGCGGCCCGCGTTTGTCGGGGATGTCTTGCCTTTGTGTTGCTTCTGCGAGGACGTGCAGCATGAGCACGCGCCAGACGCAAACATGGGTTAGCAGGTTGCTCCTGCCTACGCGCCTCCATGGCAAGACAGCCTACTGTAGACTGCGACGCTCTTTCCGGTCCAGCTGACTCCATTTTTCAACAAGCCTGTCCACAATACTACTCCCGCAGTCTTGGCTTAGGATTCATCCTGTTCGTGAGAGGCGGTTGCCATTAGCGCTGCCTGTTTCAACCCTGCGTGCAGCATACAGAGTACTTTGGCTCAGGTCATTTGCGAAGGCACACTTCACGGCACGCCCCACATCCGGCCAGCACTGTGCAAGGAGTCAGCAATACACTGCGCACAGCACGCACGGTAATTTGGCTCAGGTTGTTGGTGAAGGCACATCAAGTACTGCCCGCAGGGGGGCTTGACTTGGCAGACGCAAAGGCAAACCATGCGCTACAAGCGCGACGTACTGCAAAAGCGGCGACCAAGGCAAAACAAGGGGGGTCTGAGAACTGGGCAAACGTTGGGTCTGGCCACGCCAATGGTGGTCCACTCGAATTGTCTATTCTGGCAACGCATGATGTTCTCTTTCGTGTCACGGCAACGCCACGCGTGCCAAGCACGGCAATCTTCTCCGCCAACTTTCAGCAGCTCAGCGTCACGCCAAATTTGCTAGAGCAAACACAACAAACACAAATGCAAACAAACACCACCCGCATCAACAACAATTCTAAGCACTGGCCCAGAACTCCTTCCATCCTGGGCCCAATTTGACCACTATCCATTCCACGCGCAGAGACGTTGGCCAAGTTCTGGCTACATCCTCGTAGCCGCGCCGCTCTTGACGTCGCAGCTGCACAAACCTCTGGTCTCCTGCAAAGTGTAGCTGAAGGCAAAGCTGGTTTCCTTTTTTGGAACCCAACCGCAAAGCGGGGTCCGAAACAACATGGTGGAGGTCGAAACCTGCAAACCTGTAAGAGGTCGCTATGATTTGCCTACGTCAAGATGGTCCGTGTTGGGGTCGTCGCTTCACATCAAATGCGCCCGGACCCGTGGTTTTGGTGATTATTCACACGGTGGACAGCCGCTGAAGCAAATCACGCGCAGCGCTGCAAACATGCTGGCATGTGGAAAGCACAGCAGCTCAAGCAGAATACCGGCACCACCGCACAGGACGGGCACATGATAAGCACGCCCGCTGAAGCAGAACACTTGCAATACTGCAACAACCCGCTCAAGAGCGCCCGCTCAGCACTGCACGCGTGCCTGGCAGATGGTTCGCCCCCGCTCAGATGGTAAGCACACCCACCCAAGAGCACCTGCTCACCCCTGCACACGTGCCTGCCACGGAAAGCGCACGCGCTCAAGGGCACCCGCTCAGCACTGCGCCCAAGAATACCCACTCAGCACTGCGCGCCTGCCTGCCTAGCGGTAAGCACGCACGTGTCTGCCAAATGGCAAGCACGCCCGCTCAGTAGCACCCGCTCAGCACCACACGCAGGCCTTCCAAATGGTTCGCACGCCCGCTCAAGAGCACCCAGCACTGCAAACCACGGCAGGAGGACCATCACGATGGCGGAGGTCTATCGCATGGACAAGAACTACATCGGGTGGGTGAGGAGCCACATCACGGTGAACTCCTCCAAGCACATGAAGGAGCTCAAGGTGAACGCTGAGCACACCCCCTCCAAGGCGCCCGCTTGGCACTGCACACACGCCTGGCAAATGGTTTGGCCCGTTGTTGATCACCCCACCCGCCAGATGGTAAGCATTCATGTTGTTGACGGATTTTGACGCACTTGTCCGGCGATTGCTGGGCAAGCAAAAAACAGAGCGAATTATTTATGCAAAAACGCTTGCCTGAGTCACACTGTAAACGACATGAAACGGACTTGGGCTCGGTAGCATTATTGAAAGCATTGTCTACGGTGGCCGCAAAAAATCCGGTAAAATGCGCGGTTTTTGCAAAGTGCCAAGCGTCGCAGCCATCAGAGTGCGCGGGGACATTGCGCGCGCCGCTGCCTTGTTTCAGGCCTGACAAGTTGCGCCAGTTTAAGTTGGCAATCGCTGACAATCCCCTAAGAAGGCAAATGTAACGGCTTTGTCTAAACCTGCTGCGCTCTGCTCGGCAAGCATTCGGCCCAGCGCATGTCTCCAACCGCAAGCGGCTTGTTCGGCAGTGTGGAAAGCTATGAAAAATCAGTTGGGACGCATACCGTGGCCCCCAACTTGGGTTTCTTGGACACTTGGCCTCGCGCGCAGCCGAAAGCGCTACATCACGGGCTCCTCAGTCAGCCTGCGCGCGACATGAACGCTAGGAACTGAAAACACTGTCAGCTGCAATTGCGCGCGACGGGTCACGTCTGTTTTCTTGCGACAAACTGCGCCACGACGCTTGTCGGGGACCTCTTCGTGGCTTGATCTGGGCGGCTTTTGAGGCCGACCTGGAGCCCCAAGCAGCCACAGTGCTGCGCTACTTCGCGAGCCTCGTGTCAATTCCCACGCTGTACGCCTTTTTCAGAGCACGTGAAGCACTGCGAAACCCGCCGTCTCCGAGCCGCACGCTGTTTGGAAACACTGTCACATTCGGGGCCGCGCAACGTGGGACCTCTGGTCTCACGCACTAAGAGCAAAGCGTCAACAAACAAGCGGCAAACTCAGGACAAAGCGAGCATTGCAAGTCAAGCTGCGAAGTCCTTGCGCTCAGATGAACTTGCAATCGCTCCCTGCGGCGCTCAAGTTCAAGCAGGAACTGGGTCGTCGCAAACTTACAGGGCCCAACAACTTTGCCTCCGAAGAACTCAAGTTTATGCCGCTTACATGTCTCTCAAAAGCGTGTGAATCGCCAGCAGATCAAATTCAGACTCCGTCTTGCTTGGCAGGACCAGGGCGGGGTGGTGCGGGCCCACACACTTTTAGATCTGCACGTAGGTCCAAGGGGCGCAGTCGCGCGTTTTCAAAACGCGGCTGCGGAACGCACGACGAGAAGGTTGGCGGCAGATGGGAGACGTCGCCAAGTCGTAATTCAGCTTCTGCGCGAAGCAAGACCTTTGCCGTAGCCCGCTGGCCAACAGAAGTTGCGCTTGTAGAAGATCGGGTCTAACTGCAACGCTTTCCCCCTACAACATCGCATTGCAAAAAACGCCACCGCGCTCAGCAAACAGCACAGCGTAGGCGAGAAGCGTGGGCGATTTGGCGCCTGCAGTAGTCGGACGCAGCGAGGAGCAAGCAAACGTAAACGCTATCCTTCCAAAGCGGCAATCATGATCGGGAGACGCAAAGAGAAGTAGAACGCGTCGGTACTGTACCTTCGTCCGCTTCAAGGAGCAAGTGCAGGTAGAGACGATCTCCAAAGACATCTACCATGATCGGAATGACTATGCGGAGCACTCCAGTAACGTGAAGCAGGCCAAGTGAGGTAGGTGGTTGATGCAAAGGCGTAGGCAAAACGCAGAGCGGGGCAAGCACACATAGGAATGGGCTTGACAAGAAGAAGCACCATCATGATCGGCAAACATCATCTCGAAACAATTGCAATGGGCCAGAAATGTGTCACAGTGGTTGGGGAGCACGCCGCGGACTTCAACAACCTCAAGCTGTTTCGCGAGTACCGGCCTTCTCCCCATCAGCACTGCCGAGCACAAGCAGAATGTTGCGGAGGCCATGCAATCTTGGGAGCAAGGGAGGGCCGAGGTGATGCCAGTCAGTCTGCCCAACCCGAAGTTTGCACGCCAGCTTCATCCTTGGCGGGAAAGCAGGGGGGGAAGGGTCAGCAGCAATCCAGCAATCGTCTCACTTGTTCGTGGGCGCTTCCAGCAAAACTACCCGATGATCAGTGCTTCGTGGATGCTCATGAGCTGATCGAGCAGTTCAACAAGAAGACCCGTTCAAGAATTGGGATGAGACAGCTCTTGAACATCGTCGCCGCTGACCCCGCTCGCTGCGCTAGTTTTTTCGCGCCGAGCAAGTCAAGGGCACGCTGACAAGGTCTTTGGCGACGTCAGCTGGAATGAGTTCGTGCTTGCCAAGTCTGTCTATGTAAGCCATCTCCTTGAGGCTGCGCGTGAACTCGGGCACAGCCTGTTGCCTCTTGGGCCAGCGCCCGGGAAGCTGTATCACCGCACCAGCAGGGCAGCTGCATCGAGCATCGTCAAGATGGGCTTCATTGGGAGCGACCGAGACGGAGGCAACGCTGCTCCATTTACCCGGTCAACCACGCCTCTTACAACGCTGGTGTACGAGCATCCATGTTGAGCAAGATCGTTGTGTATTTTAAACTTGTTGATCAAGGAGCGCTTCCTCTCGGAGAGTGACGTGATGCCCACCATGACCAAGCCGTCACCGTCACTGCTGATGAGGCCTATCACTGGCGGCGCCCAAGGAGAAAGGCACGACAAAGGGCGACATTGCCGCCAGCAGCGCTGCACCAACCCTTCGTCTCAGAGCGTACGTTTCAGGGCGCGGGCTACGCCTATGAGCTACACGGATTCTAGCAACTGCGGCGAGGACGCGCAGGGCCAGCTCCAATGCCATCGCTGTGGGCACGGCTTCGCGGAGGCAACGGATGTGCAGCTCTACTACAGCGCAAAGCGCCGCTCGCAGACGGCACACTCAACAAATCGCTGGGCGAGCTGTGTGTGACTGATTTCCGTGGCTACACGGACGTGTCCAAGTGGGGGCGGCAACCTCTGTCGAAGCCAAGATGATTGAGTTGCCCAAGAACTACGGTCGTGCAAGGCAGCTGGGCTATGAGGGATCGTTTTTGCGAGGCCCGCTTCTCCATCTGAGTGGCGACGAGTTGCACGTGGACCCCAGATGACGCCACCCTCCGTGCGCAGCACCACGACCAGTTGATGGCGTTGTGGCCTCACGCTACGCGATCTTGTGAGGGCCCTGCACGATGATGTCTGGGCAGCTGGGCGGTCACGTGCGCATGAAGAACCCAAGAACCAAAGCCCAACAACCCTGGAAGCTAGCGCCAAAGACTGCCCGCACTGCTATGCAAGAATGCGGCAACATGGCAATCTCGCAAATGCGACGCCAGCAACCCCGCCTGCCCAAACCCAACGTCGCTCTTTCCCGTCTAGAATCCTGCGCAGTGAGCCGTGGGCAGGTTCGCGTGGTCGAGGCTGGACGCCGGGAAGCCTGCGTCATCTCGAATATGAAGGTATGACAACTGGCCGCCCCACGCATTGCGCATCCATTCGCGCTCCGCAGCCTTTTGCAAGCGTGAACTTAAAAGGGTCTGAGAATTGACCGCCCCGCGCCTGCCACACGCCCTGCGCTCATTAATTTGACCAGCGGTTAACCCGGCGGGGTCTTCGGACGCGCAACCTCATTTGTGTGTTGCGCAAAACTGGGTGTCTCCGTGTTGCGCTGCTTGAAGTTCAAACCCAGTTTCAGCCCTGCCGCCACGAATCCTAAACAGTGAGGTCTACGCGGGATCGCGCAGTCATTCGCGCATCTTAGCCATACAAATCACTGGCGCATCCCCCGCTGGCTTGTCGATGGGGTTGTTATAGCTACCAACCAAGCGTAGCCGCGTCAGTGTTTAATATGTTCTGCTGCCACGAAAAAGCGGAGCCCTTGCGGCAGTGTAGTCTATGAAGTGCGCCCATCTACGTTCGCAATAGCTGCCCGGCGCGCGCCGCCCACTTGTCCAGCAAGCGCTGTTTGCGACCTCAGGGCCTGAAGTTGCTGCAAGACGGAACCTGCAAGGCAACAGCAAAGTTGCCGGCTCCTCCATCTCACACTGTGGCTACAAGATCCAGGCAAGCACAAAATCACAAGAGATCTCCCGCCTGTTTGCGCAGCCTGAGTGCTCCGCACCCAGTTGAGCGACTGACGCGAGGAATCATCTGCTGATGCGACGC